TAATCAATGTATGCTTACCTGTATTTGAAAATGCATGCACGGCACACAACTGCTGAGTACCGGAACGCCCAACGACCCATGTATGTGTTTTCTTCCTGTACGCAGAAATAGATAGACAAACATACCGACCTGAGGTGTGCCATGGTCCGGGTGGACAGTACGCCAATAAGGGAGCAAAAACCACCAATTTAGAAGTAACGGATCTTTATTCGTAACTACATTATACAGCCAATTTAAAAAAATGCTCTTGCCATCTCCGCTTGTGGATTTGGAATGTACCTGTTGAAGCATGCGGAATTCCACCTGCCCAGTTGTTTAATAACGTGCGCAGGCACTCCATGACGGGAGGCTGCTGACACTGCCCCTATGCGAAACGATGCCTTAAATAGCACATAGGATTGACCCCTAACTGCCCGAGGAGCAGGCGGACGTGTGAAATGAACTTCTGGGAAGAGAGAGGGGTACTTGGAAAATGCAGCAAAGGCCCATGTGGCGGTATCTGTGACAATTTGGCCATGAGACAATCCAGCACTGATACTGGGCACCAAGCATTGCCAGAGGGGAACAACTGGATCTGTGTCGGTGCACCTACCTGATTCGTCTTGCAACGCTCAAGAGTTAACAAATAATAATTCGCGAAACGATTCAAGTTCCTCTTGAGCATCGGGACAGATTTCGAGCTGGAGGAGGTAAATTCGCCTGGCCTCAAGAACCCATGAAAGGCCAAGTAGATTGCAGCTTTCAAAACCACACTTTGGGTATCCCTGAATGGTGATCTGTCCAACATGACGGACATGGCCCTAAATAAGTGGCCGGATATGGGTAACCTGCTACCTCACAATTGGCTACCTGATTTTTGGATGCCTTTGAGAATGGCTTGGACGGGATGCGCTGAAAACAAAGACTGTCTACCTTGGTAAATTAATGCAAGGAAATGTTGCACCCCTGCCAAGTATAACCGAATAATATTATACGCCAGCTTGAGGTCCGTATGACAGTATGAGATAAAAGCTAATATGTAAGCTATTCTACTGGGATCTTGAGTAACGTATTTTGCCTGGAAAACATTGCGGGTATTGTTTGACAGGGAGTTATTAGCTTGGCCCCGTTTGACCGGTGCCCCTCTAGTCCAGAATTAGATGCTGGACTACGGGAACAGGCGTAGGAACCACGTCCGCATCCGGGTTCTGTTGGAAAAAAGATATGGAATTTATATCTGGACAGGACATCCGCCGCCACATTACATACACCAGGAAGGTAACGACAAATGATATTGAACTTGTGTTGAAGGGAGAGCCATGTTAACCTACA